TCTCAAGAGGTTATATGAACTCCGAAAGGAAGTCGAGCTCTTTCTATTTGATAAGAAAAGTAACCTGTCCCTTTATTTCCAGGATAGGAAATGGGTAGCCAGGCTGGCGTATCTCAGCTACATATTTTCTTACATGAACGAGTTGAATTTAAAACTTCAAGGTCCAGATACAACAATATTTAATGCGTAGAACAAGATCGAATCATTCAGAAAGGAACTCAAACTCTGGCTTAATATGATTGCAGAAGGAAGCAATGAAATGTATCAGTCGTACTCAGATTATATTATGGAAGCAGATGATTTCTATTCACAGAATTCAGTTTCAGATATTATTGCAGCCAACTTGAAGATGTTGTTGTTGTCGTTTAAAAAATATTACCCCGAACATGAGGATCCCCGGAGGCAAAATATGTGGATTGTGAACCCTTTTGTTGAACACAGACAGCCCTTTCCCATGAAGAAACCCTTCAACTTATTCAATTATCATCGAATAAAGGACTGGAAAGTTCTTTTAATACTACGAGTAATTCGACGTTCTGGATAAGAATGAAAAATGAATATCCAAATTTACATGAAATAGCAGTGAGGTTTCTTCTTTGTTTTTCCACCACATATCTTTGTGAAAATGCATTTTCTGCCATGACTGTGCTTCAAACGAAACAGAGGAACTGCCTGCGACTTTCTGACTGTCTCCGTTTGGCTCTCACTTCAATTCATTCCAGAATTAATAAGCTAACGGACGGAAAACAGAAACAGAAATCTCACTAGCCTAACTAACACCTTCCAAACTCAGTTGTGATAAAAGAAACTAAGTTTAACTTTCCAATAACTTATAATTGATGTGTTAAAGTGCTGCGTCTTTAAAATCGAAATATTAATTAGTGTTGGAAGTGGTGTTTAGAATTGAGAGATTCATACATTTTATTTATCAAATTACATACTTTATATATATAATTATTTGGCGTGTGTATGTGATAATAAGTGTTTCGCCGGCAAGTTGACATCCTTCTGCTTCTTCCCCTACTCGGATGACTTCTGAGGTGAGTTACAGTGCGTAAATATTTTTCTCACTGCGGTTTTTTTCAAACCAACATCATTAAAATAAGTTTAATATACAATAATCAATTTTACGCTGTAAGTTTTGGTGATAGGCATGGGACATGTCAATGAATTTTGTCACAAATTAATTTAATGATGTTGATCTGAGGAAACTACAAAATGCTACAAGATTTCATTAGTCCACTGATTGATAACTAATTTAAATGTAATTTTATGTTTGTCAACATGCCACACATTATACATAAGTGTACTAATACTCTTTATGATTATGCTCTAATTAATTACTAATATTATGTTAGCTTAATGCATGAACTTTAACAAAACCGGAAAGATATTAACGAGTAAATTTGTTGGGACTGGGCTCTCGTCTTATAAAAAAAGAACTCACTGGGCCGCGGTCTCATAAAGGTTGAGAACCACTGGTCTAGATATTGTGGGACCCTCAATGTCTCACAACCCTATGGGCCTTCACGGCCTGTTACTAGGATAGCTTTACTCTTTTACTCAATCTAGTAGCGGGGTCAAGAATGGTGGAACTATCCCTCCACTAACCATACATTATCGTGGAGTGGTGCTTTATTAATTAAGTCCAGGGACAGTTTTGCTAATGCCTATGTTAACGAAAGTTTTACTGAACAAACTTTCTTAGGATACGTTATAATCGTGGTTCACTGTGTAACTTTACGTTGGAATGTCTGGAACGGCATAAATTAAGCAGGAAACCGTCATCGGATCGCGGACAGTTGGAAAACCCAAGATGACAATGATGTTTATTTGCCTTTCTCTTGGCAGATGTCCATGAGCCATGTATGCAAGGTCAGTGAGAAGTATTTCTTTTCAACGAGACGCACGGCAGACCCAGAAGAGGCGTTGCACACTATCAACAATTGGAGACAAGCTAATACCTAACAGTTTGCTGTACCGATAGTGTATCCAGCTAGTATATTCGAGGTACCCAACTCGAATCTCTGTGTGAAGTTAGCTGTCATGAGTTTCTCCAGGCGAATTCTCAGTACTTAGAAATTAAGCATGGCCGCTTCCTTTCAAATCCTTACCTAATCACCATTCGTGATTGTCGCTCCATTTCATTTAACGCTGTTAACCACTACAGAAGAAATTTTGTTAAATATCCAACTTTGTGGTAGCCCATTGTACAGGATGGGGCTCAGAAACTTCCTTTTTGTGAAGACACATTTTGAAGGGAAGGGAGGTCGCAGAAAAGTGAGGATAGGCTCGGCGAACGCAGCAGTCGCGGAAGTTTCTGTCTAATACCCCTCAGTAGGAAACATGAGGTGGACGAGTGAGCAGCGTGCGTTCCGTACTCACTTCGGAATTAAGCCCAGAGGTCCGGTTCCCGACCGGAAATCGATTGTTTTGTGGGTAGAGAACTTTAGGACAACCGGGAGTGTGGTGAAAAAATCATCAGGACGACAACGGACCGTTACGACTCCAGAAAATGTGGAGGCAGTTCGACGGTCGATTTTGAGATCTTTTTCGAACCAGGTCTTGAAGAAATGCATCTAGGAAATGTCTGGTCCCAACAGGATGGTGCCACGGCCCACGCAGCCCGAGCTTCGATGACAGTTTTGAGGGCAAAGTTCTTCGGACTGCTCGTCTTGCCTCAAGGTGACATCCTGTGGGCAGCGCACTCACCTGATCTAACGCCCTGTGATTTTTTTATGGGGATACCTCAAGGCAGGGATTTTTAAACATCGCCCCACAAACCTGCTTCAGCTGAAGAATTTTATTCGGCAGGAAGTAGCCCAAATTCCAGTGCACATTTTGGAACGTGCAGAGGGGAACTTCAGAAAACGGTTGCATCAGTGCATAGAGAACGGTGGCCACCACCTTCAAGATATTTTGTTTAAAACTACATGATTTAAAACTTTAAAGTATGTTCTTTCATTAGCTAAACATGAATTTTGTCTGTCAGCAATAATTTTTCTTTTATTCGCCTTAAGAAAAGGAAGTTTCTGCGACCCACTCTGTATAACCTGTGAACCATAAAATCTGACTCCTGTAATACTAAAGCCAGCCGCCACTGGACACTATGCTGAGCCTGTTCTTCTACCTCCCATCCCCATTAACTTTCTTCCTAAGATCCATCCTAATGTTCTCTCATTTCCTTCATGGCCACTTTGTTGGAAATTTCCCTGCTTTAATTCTTTTCCATCTACTTTGCCTGCCCATTCGGTATTTCCAGAGTTTACAATCCTAGCAGTACCAGGTGATGTAAACAAAACACTAAAATCCCTAGTTGTTAAGAGGCCCTATCCAAAACTGCTTACTTAATACACAAGAGGGACTTCCTACGAGTGCATCAGCTATTAACTCCTTGACAGAGACAGGCTTGATTAGGAGCCGCTCAGTCGTGTAGCGACTGGCTGTGGGCTTGACCGAGGTTTGATTCCTGGCAGGGAGAGCGGTATTTTCTTTGCCGCCACATCAGGACAGGCTGTGGGAGCCACCCAATATCCTGTCCAGTGTGTAACCGTCACGTCTACCCTTTCTCAAGGTAGGGTGACCAGAGCGTAAAGCAAATTGCAAATTAAGTTCGAGGCTAATGCTTGGATCCACATTTCCACTTCCTATACGTGGTAGGCCAGTCACGGTATCCGAGTGGTCTAAGGCATGTACTGTCTTCGCTCGCTTAGAAACCTGGATCGTGGGTTCGAATCCCACACAAGACATGGATGTTTGCTGTGTATGCATTTATTCTGTGATTATGTTTTACACTGTTTAGGTAGTGGCCTTGCGACGAGCTGATCACCCGTCCAAGGACTCCTACCGTCTGTAAAAATGATCATGGAACAGAAATCGGCCCTGTGCTCCAAAGTCGGAGCATGATAAAAAGAAAACACTTGGTAGCGTAGTTGGTTGAGACACTATGCTACAAGCCGGAAGATCGCGGGTTCGATTCCCAATGAGATTATTGTATTTTTCAATTGACCTAATCCTTCCAGCCGTACTGTGGCCCTGGGGTCGACTCAATCTAACAGAAATGAGTACCAGGAATTTCCTGGGGGTAAAGGACGGCCGGCGCGTAAGGCTGACAACTTCACCGCAATCTATGAGCCGATTGTCTAGAAAATGCGGAGCCTCGACGTCTCACAGCTCTATGAGCCTCCAGGGCCTGTTACAGGAGTAGCTTTACCTTTACCCTTTATACGTCTTTATGACGTAGTGTATAAGTAACCACAGGCAGAAGCCTCTATTTTACGTTTCTTATTGGCCCCATATCTCGAGCCAACATTTCATAAGATTTCTGGCAAATGACACTTTCATTTCACATGAGCGCATTGCTGTCCTTCGATTAATGGGCATAAGGAATAGGACGAACAGTTTTAAAACCTCTCGTATCTTAATGTTAACCTATTCACATAACTCATCGCCCTACCACGAAAAAGGCTGTAGTGACTGTCAGAACGCGTACGCTGTCAAAACTCATATTACGTACAATTTAAAATAACTGGGCAATTAAATTATTTAACAACACATAAAGCTTGGACACTCAAGGAACAAACACTGAATTAGTGTTACTTATCAAATTCGTGTAAGATATTCTGTCTCTGTATGCATTGAACTGTCTTTCCAGAACACTTAAAGTTATTTAAGTTAGACATTTCTGAAGAAGTCTGTTTTCTATGCAGAAATGTTGCAGTTGCACAGAAATTGTTTTCGCGTTGTCCTGTGCTCGTGCAGGGCCTAATATTAAACGTTCCCCAACGAAGGCGTTGTCCAACGTCCTGCGAACGTGCCACCGTCTGTCTGATATTCATTCTACATACTGCGGTACATAGACAGTAAACAGGTGTCGTGTGTAAGCGTCACGCACCCTTTAATATCATCTCCCGCCCATTCTTATGCAAGTTTTTTTTTCTTGTCTGACATTCTATTAATTTACTTTCTGGCTGGTGCTTAAGTATGTCTGTTGTCTGCAGGTGATACATGACGTCCACATCGAACCCGCCCACATTGTCAAGAAGCGCAGCATAGACCAGCCGCTCAGAATCTTGCTTTATTACGACAAAAGCGTATACAGGTGAGTGTTCTGGTTATTATTATTATTATTGTTATTAAACTTTAATTGGCGCAAGTAAAGAGGTTGGTCTAGAAGTAAACACAGAGAAAACTAAGTATATGTTACTGTCTCGTCACCATAATGCAAGGCAAAATCATGACATAAAGATAGGAGACATGTTTTGAAAATGTGACACAGTTCAGATATTTGGGAACAACGATAACAGATCGAAACCTGATTCAGGAGGAAATTAAGAAGCGATTGAACTCGGGTAACGATTGCTACCATTCAGTCCAGAACCTTTTGTCTTCTCGTCTGTTGTCCAAAAACGTAAAAATTAGAATATACAAAATTATAATTTTGCCTGTGGTTTTGTACGGGTGTGAAACTTGGTCTCTGACATTAAGGGAGGAACATAGACTGAGGGTGTTTGAGAACAGGGTGTTGAGGAGAATATTTGGACCGAAGAGAGATGAAGTGACAGGAGGTTGGAGAAAACTGCGTAATGAGGAGC